AAGCTTTAACTGTTCAATTTGTTTATAGTAATTTAGCTTTGTAACTTTTGAGGAATTATTAGTCCAACTTTTAAGTCCTCCTGGCTGAAGATAGTGAAGATTAATTAAAATAAAAATCTTTTAATGATTTCTAAATTCACACAGCTATATAAGTATAAGAGAAATTTAAGTTCTATGTCTGGGTCAATGCAAGGCAAAAACATATTACACAGGAAGGACAACATTGCAGATAGAGGGCACCCTGAGAGTAAAAAACCCTGGGAATTAACCAAAATTCCAGGGACAACTCCAGATTTAAGCTATGAAATTGATGGAGCTCATGTAGAGATCTCAAAGGAACCAGGTATTGTCTGTCCAGGTGGAATGAATAGAAAATTGATTAAGGTATATCTAACAGGGTGAGAGGGTGGTATGGCAGGCTCAGGGAGGGGTAGAGAGATCTGAGGGGCTGCATGGCTGGGGAGGGGCTGTGATCCAGCCTCCTCTTTTTTCCCCCTCTGCACTCTCAGGAGCCCTTTGTGACTTAACCAGCTCTGTGATGCGGGACTAAGACTCTAGTACCCCAGCCACTGCCAGTGCTTGCTCAGTTGCCTGAGGGCAGCAGTGTGATTCAGACAATGGGGAATCCTTTCCTTTGTCTGAAAACTGTTATTGTACCTGGTTGAGCTGCACTTTCACTCCTTGGATGATTGATACCATCTTCACCATCCTGTTAGGAGGGGGGCTCTCTCTCGTTACTTATCCTCTTCAGCAGGGAACCATCCTCGCCACCATCTACGAACCACAGAAACATCAAGGAGGGTAAGGAACCCTTGGCCCAAACCCAACAGAGATGACCTTTATCCTTATTTTATTTCAATTTTCTCTAAATCACTCAGAGAGTCTCCTGAGATGGGGATTCTCAGGAAAGAATAGAACCTCACCCTTCTAGGAACAAGGCAGGCTGGCCAGGGTTTAGAGCGGGCACGGGGATTTCTAGCTGAGCAGCTCAGACCAGGAGTCCAGGTGTGGTGCAGGGCTCCAGGGCACAGG